ATATTTTGTTTGGACTAAACTGTACTTACCGTACTACGTATGAATTTTAAGGAGCTCTGGTAGCGTAGTGGTTACGAATTGAGCTGCTAACCTCAAAGTCAGCAGTTCGAAACTACCAGCCGTTCCACAGGAGAAAGATGAGGCTTTCTGCTCCCGTAAAGATTTACAGCCTCAGAAACCCTATGCAGGGTCACTATGAGTCGGAACCGACTCCACGGTAGTTAACAACAACAACAACCTGGTGCATATGTGAACTGGAACCCTAGTACCAATACTTTCTGACTTACCCTCCTCATACATATTTTATCACAATGAAATCTGAGGGGGAAAAAATTCAAAAACACATTACTGGCATGATAAAAGTACACTGATTACATACACATGCACATAAAAAGCGGTGAGATCTGAGTAAGGTCTGTACCAATGTCACTTTCCCATTTAACACTGCACAATAGTGATGTCAACATGGTGAAATGCATAAAGATGTCTCTGTACTATTTTTTTTTTCAACTTCCATGTATTATCTAATGTTTTTTAAATGTTTTACTCAGTCACCAAACTACCACTTCTCTTGAATAAATTCTTATAAATTTAACTTTGTTATCTAACTGCAATTCTATTCTCTGCATATTCTAAAAAAAGTACATTATTTTACCATAAACACTGAGCAATGTACACAAGATTTCAACTGAACATAGTGTTTAAAATAAAATGTGACTGACACTATTTCCAATTTAAGCAAATGCAGAAAACTACTAAGATCAACCTTAGGAAAAGGCATGTTGTTAAGTGCCATAAGTAGGTATCTTGGTGAATTACTAACCTCAGGGCAGCCTTCAGTTTCTTCATTTGTATAATGACAGTGACAGTGGAGTCCTGGTACAGGACTACAGGATAAGCACTGGACCACAAGGTTGGTTTGTACCACAAGGTCAGAGGTTCAAACTCATTAGCCACTGCTCGGAAACCCTCTACAGGGTCACTGTGAGTTGGAACCGAATTGACAGCTCTTTAACAATACCTCATAAGGCTGCTGTGCAAAGTACATGTGAAATGATTGCAAAAGTACTTAAAGGAAGCACTCAATATTAGCTGTGATTTTCAATCTTAAACTATCGTCCAGCAGTACATCAAAAGGAAGCTGCCAGAAACTCAAGCCAGGCTCAGAAGAGGGCACAGCTGACTGATGTCATATGGATCTTAGTTGAAAGGAGAGAATACCAAAAAGATATTTACCTGTGTTTTACTGACTATGCAAAGGCATTTGACTATGAGGATCACAGCAAATTAACAATAACATTGCAAAAAATGGGAATTCCAAAACACTTCATTGTGCTCATGCGGAACCTGTACATAAACCAAGAGGCAGTCATTCACACAGGACACAGGGATATTACATGGTTTATAAGGAAAAGGTTGTGTCCTTTTATCTTTCATCATTGTATACTTATTTAATCTGTGTGCTAAACAAATAATCTGAGAAATTGGACTAAATGAAGAACACAACATCAGGATTAGAGGAAGACTCATTAATCTTTGATATCCAGATAATAATTTTGTTGGCTAAAAGTGAAGAGGACCTAAAGCACTCGCTGATGAAGATCAGAGACTACAGCCTTCATTATGGATTACCTCAAACATAAAACAAAAATCCTCACAGAATAACTATTAGCATCATGGCAAATGAAGACTGAAGTTGTCAAGATTTAATTTTTACTTGGATCCACAATCAATGCCCATGGAAGCAGCAGTCAAGAAATCAAATAATGGACTGCAATGGGCAAATCTACTGCAAAATATCTCTTTTTGTAGTGTTAAAAAGCAAAACATCACTTTGAAAACTAAGGTGCACCAGACCCAAGCCATGGTGTTTTCAACTGTTTCACATGCATGTATAAACTAGACAATGAATACAGAAGACCAAAGAAATGATGCCTTTGAAATATGGTGTTGGAGAAGAATAGTTAACTATATCACGGACTGCCGTTAGAATGAACAATACTATCTTGGAGGAAGTACAGTCAGAAAGCTCCTTAGAAGCAAAGATGGTGAGATTTCATCTCATATACTTTGAATATTATGTACAGGGACCAGTCCCTAGAGAAGGATTCTCCTGCTTGATAGATGGTCAACGATAAAGAGGAAGACTCTCAATGAGATGGACCGGCACAGTGGCTGCTTGTACACAGGGCTGCTAGGTCAGACACAACTAGACAGTAATACCTACCAACAGATTACTGTTACCCAGTTAACAGATTACTGTTACCCAGTTAACACCTTTAATTTGATAAGTTTCAAAACTCTGAATTACAAGCCAAAAAACTGAAAGATTTACATTGGAACAGATATTTAAAAGGAATACAATTCTAGTCACAGATGAACCAGCTGATTTTACTACTCTGTGCATCTGGTAAAAAAATAAAAACATTTTAAGAGTTTTATAATGCTGAAGATTCTCCAACTTCTTTATAAAACAAAATTCTCCCAAACATTTCCACAGCTCAGAACTAACCTTAAAGTTTACCTGTTGCAGTAGAGCAAAGCATTCAGCCAAAATTCTACAGTAAACTATATGTTGTTGTTATGTGCCGTGGAGTCGGTTCCGACTCATAGCGACCCTACAATAAACTATATAGATTACAATTATGTTTGTTGTTGTTAATTATCATCAAATTTGTTGTTGTTGTTAAATGCCATCAAGTCGGGTGCAACACATGGCAACCCTGTATAGGGTTTTCCAAGGAGATGCTGGTGAGCTTGAAGTGCCAACCTTGCAGTTCAAATGGCTTTGCAATCTGGTGCATTAACCCACAGCGCCACATAGTTACTTCTAAAAGTACTGGTGTGGCGCTGTGGGTTAATGCGCTGGACTGCAAAGTCAGTTTGAACCGCAAGGTTGGCCGTTCAAGTTCACCAGCTGCTTCTTGGAAACCCTATAGAGGTTCTCCATGGGTCAGAACCAACTCAACAGCACTTAACAAGAGTTACTAGCAGTATCGGTTCTATTTGTTCCATTCTACAATTTTTCAAAGTAGTTTTATGCTCACCATCTAGTTTGTTCCTCTCAATAGCCCCCTAAGAAAACAGCTCATTCCCATTTCTAAGATGTATAAGATGTGTAAACAAAATTTAGTTATTCTGGGTCCAGAATCCCTAGTCTCTGGAACCCAAGCATTCATGCTTATCAAATGTCGTTTCATCCCTTAAAGCCATCCTGCAGAGCAGTTAACTCTGAGTTTGCCAAAACTGCAGCAATGAATTCTGTCAAAACATTTACACCCCTATGGTTCTTGGAAGATAATGTGATAGCGGACTCTCCTGTTACATTTCGATAGTTAAGCAGGGGAGATACGCTGACAACAGTTTTCAGGAAGTTTAGAAAATCTATTTGTTATATGACATTCACTCCAATACACACTCACTTTTGCCTTCTTATAATTCAGTTACCTGTCTTATTTTCTTTAAGCACTCTGGCTGTGCCAGTGCAAGTTCTCACATAGTTCTTTACCTTTGTTCTTAAGAAATTACAGCAAATGTGCAAGATGGTTGACAATTCTATTCATGACCCTCAAATACTACTGTAAGAACCCTTGAGATGCAGAATTATTTACAGATCAATATGATTCTGCTTAAAAAGAAATCTACCTATTAAAAAATTAAAATAGCCCACTTCCTAAACTACAGGCAAAGAAACTTAACCCTGGTTCACCTTTGCCCTCCTCCCAAGCTTTTAATATTCCTCTTGGTTTAACTTTCCTCAATCAGCATTCCTTTGTGTCATGCCCAGCAGTTAATTCACAAAGTCTATTTTCTACCCTCTCACACACACACTTGCAGATACATACACATGCATGCCAGAAAGTTAACTTCAGGTCTTAGGTAACAGAACTTAGCCAACAAAGTTAGTAGTGAACCAACAACATTCAGATTCTTATTCTATTTTACATGCATTTTAATTTAATCCCCAAAACTTCATCATACCACCCCTCCTCCATACAAAGCCCTGGAACTTGTAGGACAGTGTAGAACTGCCTCAGAAGGTTTCCAAGGCTGTAAATCTTTTCAGTAGCTAGCTGCCACATCTTTCTTCCACAGAGCGTCTAGTAGGTTTGTCTGTTATTGAGTTAAACTGTCAATCCTTTTAGTTTGCAGGTGAGCACTCAAACACTGTGTCAGAGGAACTTCAAAACTCCATCAGTTATTTTTCAGGAACTAGGGCACAAATGGTCCAAGAAGGATTCTATCCACTACAACCAACTGCCTAACCCACAACTCTAATCCCAACCTGATCATTAAACTAATCGTATGACCTTGGGCCAGTCATTTTGTTCTGGGCCTCAGTTTCCTCCATTGCAAAATGAGCTGCACTCAATTCAGTTTTCAGGTCCTTCCCTACTTTTAGTGTTCTGTGAAATCTTACTGAATTACTCCCCAACCCCAAATAGGTGTTGTAAACTTTTCCTATCAACGCATGTTCCCGTACTTTCTGCTTACTCTTTAAGGTTCCAGTCTCTCGTCTTTCCTTAAGATTTTATTTTCAAATATTCTGAACCTATAACGCCAATCCTAAATATTCTCTCTCGATCCGCTATCACCTTATCCTCACTGCTATAGGTACCGACTAGGCCCGATCCCATTCCAGACCATTACCCATTTACTCCAGTCTACCTCGGGGCTCTCCAGGCAGCCAGGAAGAGGCCTAAGAACCTAGAAGCACAGCCATAGGAAGAAGTTAGCGTTCCCAGAGGTCAACGGAGACTCTAAGGCACCTGCCACGCCTCCCAACCCCCGCGATGGGGTCTGGGCCTGGCTGCCCAAACGAGGCGGCCGAGGTCTGGGCCTTGCTTCTCACCGCCGACGCGCTCGCTGGGACCCGAGCCCTTGAAACCCAGTCCGACCCCTCGGGCCTGACCACGCCCGACCCTTCGGCCGCGGAGCTGTGATTTTGGGTCACCAGAGTCTTCTTAGGCCCGTGGGTGTGCACAGGACTCCCGTCTCACCTCGAGCTTCCTGAGGAACGCCGGCGGCGCCTGCGCCTCCTTCTGACCGCACACCTGGCCCCGCGCTGCAGTGGAGACAGCGGCGGAGGCGGCCCGACCGTCACGTGTCGCAGAACCAAGAGGCCGGAGACACCGCTGCTGCCGCCGCGCGAGCAAGCCCCACGCACGAAGCCCGGCCCAGTGCCCGCCCCTCGCTTGCAGTGGCTGCTAAGAAAGCCAAATCCTGCCTCCCCGCGCAAGTTCTGAAACTCAGTTGGTCAGTGTCGCCATCGCTCTATGCGTTTTCCCATACGCCCCCTAGGGCTATTCTTCGTGGAGTGTGATGATTAGCTAGAAGTAAGGCAGGAAGTGGTTGCTGATTGGGTGGCAGGTGAAGGGGCGGATCCCGATGGAATCAGGAACGGCTGGCGAGGGCGTCCTGGGGCGGGGTGCTTGGCGCTGTTCCCTTGTGTTCAGTTGCTGTGCTATTTTAGTGGGTGTGCAGCCAGGCTTTTCATCTTAATCTCTGTGGTTTTGGCGCCGGAGCAACCCTCAGAGGGAGTGGGAGGTCTGGTCCGTCATCAAGAAGGGTCTGGCCCCTACGCAGCGAATGTGAGGCCCAACGAGGCGCACGGAGGGTTTTGGCCTGGCGGGAGTTAACTGCACAGCACTTGATAACCGGCTCCTGGTTCCTGCACAGTCATTGTTGAGAGCCCTGAATCTTGCGATCGCCTCTTTGCTTAACATAAAATGCAGTTCTGAATAATATGTAAGGGGGTGGGGCTTCAAAAATTTCTTAGAAAAACTGAATTACAAGATAATGGAATTATTCCAAGAACGTTTGAAGTCCCCTCGTGTAAACTAAGGTTATGTTAAATTTCCCATTTGTGATGTTTTCTGCACGTGAGATTTAGACATAATGGCAGAGGTAACACTGGACAACAGACTTGAGGGAAAAAATGATACAATGGAAACATTTAAAATTCACAATTTTTGTAACTCTAGGGAGTCCTGGTGTAGCGTTGTAGTTAAGCACTGGACTGCTAACCACTAGGACGGTGGTTCAGACCCACAAACTACTCCTTGGAAAGCCTATACAGGGTCTCTATGAGTCAGAACTGACTCCAAGGCACACAATGACAGCAACCACAGTTTTCAATATGCCAAGAGCCTAAGACTGAATCCTGTTGTCAAGTGCCATCAAGTCGGTTCCAACCCATTGGAACCCTGGATAGGGTTTCCAAAGAGCAGCTCGTGAGCTTGAACCGCCAACCTGTTCAAACCGACTTCACAATCCAGCGCATTGACCTGATTAGTCCACAGCACCACACCAGGACTCCAAGGCTGACTCCTAGGGCGGGAGAACTAGAAGCCTGCTTTTTTGCCACCTGACAGGGCAGAGAAGTCCGGGCTTAATGTTTGCATGTTTCAATAGTCAACTCATTTTGTTGTTATTGTTGTTGCTAAGTGCCTTTGAATCTGTTGTGACTCATAGCAATCCTGTATAGGGTTTCTGAGGCGCAGCTGGTGGGATTGAACTGCTGATTTTAAGTTCAAATTGACCTTAGGTCTCATGCTTTTATCCTACAGGGCACATCACGGCTCATTTTACAGTCACCAAATTTACATAAGGTTTTGTGTTGAGAATAAAGTAATATTCTGGATGTTAGATATTCCAAACAGTTTAAAATGTGTTAGAGGAATCAAGTATATTAGCATTTTTGTTGTTAAGTGCTGTTGAGTTGGTTCTGACCCATAGAGACTCTGTATAGGGATCCCAATGAGCAGCAGGTGAGCTTGAACCGCCAACCTTGTGGTTCAAGTCGACTTTGCAGTCCAGTGCATTAATCCACAGTTCCACACCAGGACTCCATGTTAACATCGCACAGGAGTATATACATTTTCTGTTAGGGGCCATTGAATCATTTAGAACTCATAGTGATCTTGAAAGATAAAATCCTTATCTTTCTCCCCCAAAGATGCTAGTGTTCTGAAAGTTCCAACCTTGTGATTTTCAGTCCAGTGCTTACCCTACAAAGACCATATATACATATTTGAGTATATAAATGCTTAAAAAGATAGTGGTACTAAAGTGAATTTAATGGGGTTCGAGTGGAAAGGAACTTCTTCCATCTAGGATAGACAGGAAAAGAGGAAGACTGGAGCTAGATTGGAATTTGACTTTGTAGGATATGCAAAATTTCTGAAGGTAGAAAGTGGGAGGAAGGCTTAGATGGGAAACAGCATTGCAAAAACAGGACACTATGCAAAGAGTTCCTGAAGAACCCTGATGAAAGTGAGTGATAGGAGATTAGCTCCAGAGTTCAGTTGGGACTAGGCCTTGAAAGTTTAGCCAAGGAGTATGTATATAGGAATATATTTTAGATTTTAAGATTGGGTCATAATTCAGGTGTCATGGGAAGCATTATTTTGATATTATTCCAAGGAGAGATAAAAGAGAGACTAGCAACTATGAGGACAGTTAGGAAGTCACTTCCTGCAGTTGACAGGGGCAAGGTTAGGAAATAGCAGTATACACTGTGCCCTAGTGGCACTGGGGGTTAGGTGTTGGGCTGCTAACTGCAAGATCTGCAGTTTGAAGTCACCAAAAACTCTATAGAAGAAAGACGAGGCTTTCTGCTTCCATAAAGATTTACAGCCTCAGAAACCCCATACAGGGTCACTATGAGTTAGATCCAACTCCACAATACACAACATCAACAACAGTATACAGAAACAAAAGCACTAAATGTTGCCACTAAAGGATAATTCAGTGAAGCCACAGAGAGAGAAAAACCAATTGACCAGGTACAGTGATGTCGTTGTTGTTGTTAGGTGCCGACGAGTCAGTTCCGACCTATAGCAACCCTGTACAGGGTTTCTGAGGCTGTAAATCTTTACAGGAGCAGAAAGCCTCATCTTTCTCCTGCGGAGTGGCTGGTAGTTTTGAACTGCTGGCCTTAAGGTTCGCAGCCCAATTCATAACCACAACACTACCAGAGCTCCTTAGGTACAGTGATAGAGCACCAAAAGAAAGAGGGAACTCAAAACTTGCCTGATCATGGGGAATATGGGTCTGAACCCAAGAAAGAGCAAGACTGGAGATTTGGGCCAAAGCATAATATGCTTCAAAGAAGGAGGCTGAGAAACCTTAAAGTCTGAGATACAATCTTAGTAATTCAAAAGGTACTCTGAGTTTTGGAATAGCTAATTAAAATAAATAATCATATAGTTCTTAGAGGGCAGTGGTGATTCAGTGGTAGAATTCTTGCCTTCCATGCAGGAGACCTGGGTTTAATTCCTGGCCAACATAACTCAAGTGCAGCTACCACTCTTCTAGCATTGGAGGTGTGTGTGCTGCTGAACAAGTTTCAGTGAAGCTTCCACATTAAGATGAACTAGAAAGAAAGGCCTGGCAATCTACTTCTGAAAATCAGCCAATGAAAAACCTATGGATTACAGTGGTAAGATCCCAGGTACAATGGAGTCACCATGAGTTAGGAACAGACTTAACTGCAACTAGCAACATACAGCTCTTAGAGGTAGACAGTGTGGAACTTTAGACTGAATATATTCTGACCTTATGAGTTATTTTTCAAAATAAATGCTTAATGAAATATCCATCATGAATGAATAAGCAAAATGCACTATATATGTTGTTGTTGTTGGGTGCCATCGAGTCGGTACTGACCCAGAGCGACCTTATGCACAGCAGAAGGAAACTGCCCGATCCTGGGCCAACCTCACTACTGTTGCCATGCTTGAGTCCATCAATGCTGCCACTTGGCCAATCCATCTCGTTGGGGGTCTTCCTCTTTTTCTCTGACCCTCCACCTTACCAAACATGGTATCTTTCTCCAGTGACTGGTCCCTCCTAACAATATGTAACAAGTATGAGAGACGAAGTTTGGCCATCTTGGCCTCCAAGGAGCTCTGGCTGCACTTCTTCCAACACAGATCTATTGGTTCTTTTGGCAGCCCATGGCACCTTCAATATTCTCCTCCAATACCATAATTCAAAAGCATTAATTCTTCTATGGTCTTCCTGATTCACTGTCCAGCTTTCGCATGCATATGGTTGGTTGATTGGTTATGTCCCGTAGGGTCAGTTCCAACTCATAGCAACCCTGTACAGGGTTTCCGAGGCTGTAAATCTATACGGGAGCAGAAAGCCTCATCTTTCTTCCGCGGAACAGTTGGTAGTTTTGAACTGTTGACCTTGTGGTTCGCAGCCCGTTTCATAACCACTACACTACCAGAGCTCCTTCCAACACGGTGATACAACATGAAAAATGAAATCAATATCATTGAGTTGTAAATGTGGAACTTGTGTTGGTGATGTTTTGGTCTGTAGGTTTTCACTACGATAAAAAAAGAAAAAGGAATGCTTTATAGCCATTTAAAAACATATATACATATCTGTTGACGTGTATTCTACTCTGGTAATGTATCCACATATATGAGTGGAATATAGCCACATACTGTCTGTAAAGACATACACACTGATATTTATTACGTAATAGTTGTAATACCAAAATCCTGCAGAAATCTTGGAAACAGTCTGACATAGAGAACTAGTTAAATAAAATATAGGTCATCCTACAATGACTCTAGTTAAAAACATGAAAGCATAAGATGAGAGGTATTATGTATTGATATGATTGCCAAGATTTAGTGTTGTCTGAAAAAAGCACTGAGTAATGCTATGCTTTCCTTCATGTTGTAGAGAGAGAAATACTATAAATACAAGTTTGAACAAACAGGCTTACTGGAGGTACACACAAAAAACTTCTAAGAGGGGTGATGCTAGAGAGGTGGCCCAAAACTCTGCAAGTGGGCAGGAGACATTTTATAGCAAATTAATATTCTTTATTGAAAAATTAATATAGTTAACATTTCTGCTTTAATGCTTGTTGTTGTTGTTAGGTGCCATTGAGTCCATACCAACTCATAGCGCCCCTATGCACAACAGAACAAAACACTGCCCAGTCTTGGGCCAGTCTCACAATTGTCGCCACACTTGAGCCTATTGATACTGCCACTTTGCCAATCCATCTCACTGGGGGTTTTCCTCTTTTTCTCTGACCCTCCACCCTACCAAACATGATATCCTTCTCCAGCAACTGGTCCCTCCTGA